CCGTGGTGGCAACGCCTGGGCAATGCCGGGCACCGGGCACCTAGCCCCGCGTGGCCCCGGCCCGTGGCGAGGTCAGGAGGGCCGCAGCGATGGCCGGCGAGCCGGGACCGTGGCCAGGCCAGAGCCACAGGCCTCCCTGCTCCTGGCCGAACCAGGCAGCATCTGGGGGCTGCTGTACCGGGGCACCGCTGCTCCCGCGGCTGCGGGACTGCAGCCGGGGCACCCCGGGGCGGTGCTGGGTGCTGACACAGAGCGGGTGCAGCCCTGTGCTCCCGTGGGGCTGGGGGGTCACCGCAGCATGGCCACCCCCCGGGGACAGCCCGGTCCCCAGCACCGCCCGGGGCGGGAGGGGCCGCTGGTACCCAGGGATGCTCCGGGCTCCCCTTGTTGCCATGGCAACAGCTGCGGGCGGGGGGGTGTGTGACGCAATTGGCGCGTGCCCCCCGTGGCCCCCCCGGTCCCTGGACCAAACCGCCTCCCCCGGGTGGAGCTGAGGGTGCCGCGGGGCTGCGTGGGCGTGGGGCACACGCGTGCACAGCCCATACGTGTGCACGCACACACGCACGTGCTCTGCATCCACACGCCACGCACACAGAGCGAGCACGCGTGTACGGCCTGCGCGCACACACACGGGGCGCCGACACACGTGCAGGGAGCTGCACGCACACGCGCACGCGCGGGCTCCCACCCGCCGGCAGCGGGGCACGGCGCCCGGGGACACCCAGCCCCGGCCGGGGGGGGGGGGCCCCCCGTGCCCCCCGGCCAAGGTGACAGTGACGGCTGCCAGCGAGCGAGGGAGGGGGGCCGGGGGGCAGCCAGACGTCACGGTCAAAGCCAGCGCGAAGCTCCCGAGCCCGGCAAGCTGCGAGGGAATGTGACCTTGGGGAAGGCGGCCGTCACCTTCCAGCGCCCAGCCACCCATCCCTGGGGACACCCATGCTCAGGGACACCCACCCTTGGTGGCACGGCCATGGGGGACCCCTGTGTCACTCGCCCATCACGGACGGAGCTGGGACCCCTGAGCAGAGCCCAGGGACGAGGGACGGCCACCGCCTGGCAGCGGCAGCAGGGGTCGGGCTGCGTCA